TGCATATTCACAAATTGAGGAAATCAACACTGTGTTTTGCCTACAAAAAATGGCCTTGGCGCATGACAATGAAGATCTTTTGCCTGAAAGGATCCACTCATATGTTCAAACAACGCTTGCTTGGGACAACATTGATAGACTAGAAGAGACCCTATCTGGTGCAGGAACGTCAGATCGAGTTAATGGATTGCCATCCAAGCCATTGCATTTTGGCCTGATCCTTCCTCAGACACAGAATTGAGCAAGCCTAAATGAAGAAAAGAAGCACTGATCCCTCAATAACTTCCATTGTCCCACCATGCAACCCTGGTGACTGCTGTGGTCCTCAAGCGAGAGCATTCGTTGAGGTAACATCTGAACACATCTTGCCAGAAGCAAGAATTAAAAATTTGCTTTGGACATTAGTACGACTCCAAGCTAAAGAGAATCACAAAGCCAGCGGCTGGACAGGTTTAAATTTTTTGTCCGTAACAAGGTTGAAGTCTCACAGGATGTCATCAGATATCTACCGACTATTGACGCACCTGCTACTGACATGGCTATGGTTCACAAGGTTCTAGTAAAGTCACTGAAGACCAAAACACCCTCAAGTTCAAGAACATCGTTCTCGTCTTTGACCAAGCACTATACGCAAAGGCAACAGCAGCAGTGATCCTTATTGTGGTAAGGATGGGACGGCCTGTACCATGTTGTCAATTATTGGAAAGCGTTTCCAGGATGCTGGGTTGAGGGAGCTGTGCGTCGAATCTGGTGAGCTAACAGAGGGCTCTGTAGCAGGAGTTATAGAAGGTTGTAGGTATATTCGTGGTGTCAGACTCCACAAGCTTGTGTATGAAGCCGTTATGAGACTGGTATTGCAAGGATTTGGGCCCTGGATAGAGGAGAATCACGCAGAATCCAAGACAATTGTTTAAGTGAGACTGGTGAGTTATATGATGATATCTGTGAAAAGCAGTTCCATGAGCAGCGCTGATAGTGTTGACTTCTTTTTCACCAGTACATAGAGTTCCTCGGCCACAAGAACAGCAAGCCGTCCGAGTTCTAATTATCTTACCTTGATATGGCAGAGATTCTCCTTGGACTTCTGAGAGCATCAAAGGAAGGCAATTGGGAACTTCATGTTTCTACAGTAAGGAAGATGATCCCATGGTGTTTCGCATATGACAAGGTTAATTATGCAAGATATTTATCTTCCTATCAATCAGAGATGTCTCACCTTGAAGAAGAGCATGCGGAGCTGTTGGCTTAATTCAGGGCTGGCAGCTTCTCAGTACAGATCAGGGGCAGGAATCCATTCGGTAAAATACCAGAAGATGAAGCCTGTGAATAGACTGAAAATAAAGACACAAAGATGGCAGAGGGGCATGAAAGGGTTCAGCCTGAAGCCAGGAGCCATCAGCTGTCTCTATCAGCCATAAGCTATCTCATCACAGAGTACCGAAGCACATTCATGCGACAACTGAAGGATATGCTCAAGCTAGGCATCTCAACTACTTTTCAACACACTGATCTTCAATAACTCACATAGCCAAAGACGAAGATGAAGATGTGAAATCATAGATGTCAATGCGAGAAGGAAGCTGAATCAATCCTCTTAAGGGCGAACAACAAGACCTTGCTTGTCTATCTACTGGTAAGCTCACTACCCCTGAGATAGAGAACGATCTGCTTCAGGTAGAGGCTTTAAGAGTGAAGGCTTATAATTAGTTTTGTACTGACAGGCTCGAATCTGACACACCGAAGGTAAAGTTTCATAACAAGATGACAAAACTTAAACTTAAAACATTTGGTGATCTCTCAAAAAAGTTGAAAGTACAAGGGGGGTTGGGCAAGGAAGTAATAATTAAAGCGGATTGTGCGCTCTTTGCCCAGATGATTATCATCGCTGAGAACAGGAAGCTCAAGATAAGTGATATGTTGTGCCACCCACTCAAGCCTCTTCCTTCAGCCCTAGCTTTGGCTGAAGGATCACAGGAAAAACCAACAAGGCATCGCTTGCCAAGGAGCTATAAAGGAATCTAACTGCAGCAGATGTAATTCCGCAGCCGTGTGTGGTCGTTATCGATGGAATGGCAATGGTTCAGAAGCTTAACGACATGGTCTACCGCGACAATTCAATCTAGAATGCCCAGAGAGAAAAGCGTGGCTCAAAAACTGGTCATGAATTCAGATACATCAAGGCAGATCACAAGATACATCAATGGTGAAAATTCCTATCCAATGCTACGAATAGGTCGCTCTTGATCAAATTCATCTCAGAAGAGTGGCAAAATGACAGATGCAGATGCATAGGCTTGATGGAAAGATAGTCTTTGTAACCACAGAGAAACACTGCTAGGAAATCTCTTTAACTGGAGCAACAACAAAGGAAGAGCTTGAGTCGACACAAGAGGAAGCCGATACCAAAATGTTACTCCATGCATCTCATGCAGCAGCAGCAGGATACAAAGCCGTCATTATTACATCAGAAGATACAGACGTGTTTGTTCTCTCTTTGACTTTTAAAGGTTTCATACCATGTTCTGTGTTTGTTAAATGTGGCCAAGATTCGAACAACATACATCGATGTGTCAAGTGTTGTTCGGATGTTGGGCCCAGAACTATGCAGATCTCTCCAAGGTCTCCATGCCTTCAATGGCTGCGACAGCGTCAGTGTTTTCTCTGGAGAGGTCAAGGTATTAGCTTTGAAGATGGCTAGACAAAGCAAGTCCTTCCAAACTTTAATGCAGGAAATGGGTACAGAGTGGAACATCACATTATCATAACAGCCGTAACTCATCCTTAATTATTATGAATTCTTCAACGCCTTTGCACTCTTATAATTATAGTTATTCTGTGCGAACAAGGGAAAAGTGACCCGCAACAGCTACCTCCCTGAGCTGATTCTTTAAGGACGCACTCTTTGAGGGCAAACTACCAAGCAGCTGTTTGGAGAAGAAGTCTCCAGAGCTGCCCTCAAGTCTCTTCACCTGTTGGTCACAGATGGGTTCAAGAGGACAAGTTATCTGTCAAATGGATGAGTAGTGACCCAGCTCCTGCAGCTTTTTTGAGTTCCTCTCCCATTCCTGTGCAAGATCATGCAAGCTACCCACCTGTATGTGCCTTACAAATGGCCTTAAATGCACTGACATGTGCCGGCTTCGTGACTGCAACAATCGTGTTTTAGAGGAGAAGTTACCTGACAACGAGGTGGATGAGAAAGATTACCATACTACGAAAAAACAATTCATCACACTAGAACATATCGCAGTTGAAAAATTGTAAAAACCATAAGTCCTTCACAAAAATTTATATATTACACCTCATAAAAAAGGAATCATTGGCATAAAAGTAATAGATCTTGATCTACTCCACATTTTAAAATATTTTCATAATAAAATTTTGTATTTTCCAGATGTGTTTTGATTCAGAAATGACGACTCTTGCAGTTTTCGAGTACTTTCACCACATTTTGCTTCAAATTTATCGCTTCTTTATAATCATGATGGTAGATCTAAGATGGCCACTTAGATGATGACTAATAGACACCCTGTCTTAATAGCTATGGCAGTTAACCAGATCATTCCTTCATACAAACGCTGAAATTTCTCATCTTCATTTCAAGTACATTCCGCTAAATCAATGCATTCACAAATTCAATCCTATTTTTGGCTCAAATTGGTTATTTTCTGTTGCCATAGAAACCATTGCCAAAATTCAGATAAGATTATAAGCTTAGTGCTTTAAAAGCTCATCTGGTAGAAATCACAATCATTTTCCATGTTGTAAATACACTTTTTGTAAGGTCAATATTGGAGGTTCAAGAATCATTGTCTGATTACTATTGATTCTGTGGAACTGAGTGATGTCACTTTATCACATGATAATCCCTGTTAAGCTACTCATTCATCACTGCTATCATCCATAATATAAAACAGAAGAAAGATCAGTTTTCAAAAATGTATAATAGCATTACTCCCCACAAGTGGTACTGTTACAACCACTGAGCACGTATTTTGTGCCTGCAATGTAACCACGTGTTTCTGAAACCCGACTCCTTGTAAGTTTGTCATTTTGAAAGTGTGCTTGTGGAACCATAGTTAGTAGAGTGGAACTCAAAACAGTCAGTAAGTTTTCTAACTTGTATTTCAGCCTTTTCTATGTGAACTTTTGAACATGGAACTCATCATAAGCATGTATTTTGTCTCTAGAAAACCTAACTCCTTATGCGTAGGATATTCAAACTACTTTGGACCTACTTCATCGTGAATTTGTTTGAACTTGACTTTGTTGACTCGGCTCTGGATCTATTAATTTTTTTGTCTTCTGAAACCTGGAATGTTTATGGAATAAACATACGCAGGGTTCGAGTTCTTAACTTTGGGCGGCAACAGTTTTTGACTATTTAAGAGTTCGTAATGGATGAAGACAAGTAAAAGCAGTGGAAGCGTGTTCGAAGATGGCCCAGTGTGAAGATTTGTTTAGCTCTTCGTCAACCGAACGGCCTTTGATGCAAGAATTGTTTACTTTTAGATATGAGGATTTAGACACTGGATTCAATGAAAAGGACTATGCAACAGCATCGAAAGAAGGAGAGAGTATCGAAAATCTGCAGTTAAGCGAAACGCATGCTTATGAGATCAATTTGGAGTGGAAAAGGGGAGCTTTGTTCAATTCCCACACTGGACACATGGGAAATTTGAGAAAGATTCACAACAGGCTAATGGATTTGATGAAAGAAGATGGAGCTCCGGAAGATGTTTTGAACGGATGTCATCAGTTTTTATGAAGCTTGGTGTAAGTTTGTGAATGTTCATGACAATTAATAACAGTTGTTGAGCGAATATTATGGTGGGGACTAACATGTGTTAGATAAGGCGGTAAAAAGTTGTGATGAACAAATGGAGCAAAAACTTAAAATTATCTTGATCTTTCTGTGAAGTTATGGCTGGAAAGGAGTGAATCAGGGAGATTAGGAACTGAAGGCAATCCTGATGTAGTTTTGGAGAAAGCAAGCAAAGATGGGCATAGTGTCATTTCTAGATCAAGTTCAAGACTATCCTCAGTGTCTCAAAAGAGATTCAGTGAGTGCAAGTCAAACTTCCTCTATTAATGTTGCAAATGGGACTTCATGTATGCCAACACAGAGAGTGATTAGTCAGTGTGTCAGAGTCCTGGTCTCCAAACTGGGAGAGTCCAGTGGCCCATACATTACCTTGAAAAGTTCTTGGCACCAACCGACAGAAACTCAGCAAAATAATGATGGTTTGGAATTGGTTAAAACATTGAAACAGGTGGTGGCGATGCCCAAGGTGTAGTATCAGCACTTTGACGGTGACCCACTGAAGTGTGCCACCTTTTTTCAGAATTTTACGACATATTTGGAGAAGGATAACCCTGATGACTCCCGAAGATTACAATTTCTCATCCAGCACTGCACGGGTAAACCAAGGGATGTGATTGAAAGCTGCTCTAACTTGCCTGCAAGTGAGGGTTACCGAGTAGCGAAGGAAACATTGTGTGAGAACTTTGAAAAGTCAGACATAATTGCAGGGGCCAAATATAGAAGTTACTGAATTTACCAAACCTTAAGAATGCAGATGGAGCGTCTCTGTTAGAATTTAGAAGACAATTGGATACCGCAGACCAAACACTGACTGCAATGGGCATTGAATATCTAGCTGACCTCAATCACATGAACACATCGAGAGAACTTGCTAAGAAGCTGACAACATTTTTTAGAGCAAAATGGACTGAATGCGCTGGGAAGATAATTGATTTAGGGCATAGACCTAAGTTTCAGGACTATGCTAAGTCCATAAAAGACAGGGCGAAGTTGGTGGACAACAAGTTCGGGCAAGACATGAACAGTGTGTTTGCAGGAGAGACTAACATGTGGAAAAAGAGAGTGAATTCTGATGAAACTTCACCACAACTGGAAACATTCGCAACAGGACATGGTCTGAACAGTTGTGGACAAAGTGGAATCTTAAATGCACAAATTGTTTGCTTCATTTGCTCAGGGCAACACGAGGTTTGGAAGTGTGAACTTTTTAAAGGCTTACACATGAAGAGAAAAGGAAGATTGTGCAACGAGGTGGACCTTGTAACAAGTGTCTAGCAAAAGGTCACATTGCTAAGCATTGCCCAAAAGTGAATTTCAAGTGCCAACACTCTGAATGTGGAGGAGGTCACCACTAGCAATGAATCAAATGTGAGAGATGCAAGACGGTGAAATCAGAAAGCTGGATCGAGAGATGTGAACCCCTAACAGCAGTTGCAACCAAGTGAAGTGCCTGTTAGATCTTGTAATGAAACGGGTCGGTAATGGTAATGGAGTAGCGGTGGCTGCTACTGGAGCTGGAGAAACTCAGGTGTGTCTTGGAATCATTCCAATCAAAGTTCAAGGTAAAGGAGGCTGTAGAGTGATTGAGACATATGCTCTTCTTGACAATGGCTCTGAAGTAACATTGTACCATGAATGAAAGATTTAAATTCACTATGACTTGAATGACAGGCTCTCAAAAGGTGAATAGTAAATTGGTGGATCTTTTGGTGAAATCGATTGATGATTCTGTAGAAGTGGAACTGTGCAATGTAAAAACTGTTGTTAATATGCCAATTTCCACAAGTTGCATCGCATCGCAGAGAGAAGACCTTGTTCGCTGGACTCATTTACATGGCATTGACATTCCCAGTATTGAAGATGGAGAAGTTTCTCTTCTGATTGGTTTGAAGGAAAGACCAACACTTTTCCTCCTGCTTGAGTTAAAGACTGGTGGAGATAATGAGCCAATAGCCATACAGTATAGTTTAGGGTGGACTGTGATGGGTCCAATGGGCAACCAGAAAAAAAAGATCATGATTGTTCAGTGAACTTTGTGTTTACAAAGGACTGTCATATGCAACAAGGAAACCTTCTGAGAGATGAAGTTTCCAGGCAACGAATCAGCGAAGAAACAAAGAAGCTGAAAGATGAGAATGAAACAGCGCAGCACTTCAAAGACAAGATGGACAAGATGGACAGTTAGATTACTGTGGCATGACCCACCATACTTACCCAGTAACAAAGTGATGGCACAGCAAAGACTGGATCTTTTAAGAAAACGGTTAAGTAAATACAAAGACCTGCATGAAAAATATTGTTCTGCAATAATATTCAAGACTACTTAACAAAGGGATATGCAGAGAAGGTGCCAGAGAATTAATTATACACAAAAGAGCAGCCAGTGTGGTATCTACCCCACCACGATGTAACACACCTCATGAAGCCGGGTAAAGTTAGATTGGTCTTTGATTGTACTGCAAAGTATCATGGAATATCCTTGAATCAACAGTTGTTGCAGGGCCCTGACTTCACAAATCCAGTAGTAGGAGTGTTGACCAGGTTTCTGCAAGAAACAACAGCCATCGCCGCCGATATAGAAGGAATGTTCCATCAGGTTTATGTTTACCAGAGGGACTTTCATGTGTTTAGATTTCTTAGGTGGCCAGGTGGTCAACTCAATGAGCAGCCACAAGAATACCGAATGGTAAGACACTTGTTGGTGCTACGTCCTCGCCAAGAGTTGCTAACTTCTGTCTAAAGAAGACTGCATTGATTTATGGGACAGAATTTGATCCTGATGTAGTCCAAGGAACATTATGTGGATGTTTTGATGAAGTTTGCTGCTACTTCCACAACAGCAGTATGGTTTTCGACACAGCTAAGAGAACTGCTAGTAAAGGGCGGATTTAGATTGACCAGGTTGTTAAGTAATGATAGAAGGGTACCAGCTGAAATTCCAAAAACTGAGAAAGGAGTCTCTGTAGCGAACCTTGACATACAAGAATTGCCAACTGAGTGAGCACTTGGATTGAAATGGCGTGTAGAAACGGACAAGTTTATTTGGAGGGCATCAGGAAACCTTCAGCATCTTGTGCAGAAAGGAGCAACGACGAGACATGAGATCTTAGCAGTTGTTGGCTTACTGTTCGATCCACTGGGCTTTATAGCTTTATATTCTCTTACTTAGATTTCATTTGGGGCCGGTGTTACTACCGCTGCGCATGTACCTCGTGCGCACAATGTAACCACATGTTTTTGACTGACTCCTTGTAAGTTGGTCAGTTTGAAAGTGTGCTTGTCGAGCCATAGTAGAGTGGAACTCAAAACAGTCGGTAAGTTTTCTGACTTGTATTTTGGCCTTTTCCTTATGAACTGCTGAACACTGAACTCATCATAAGCATGTATTTTGATTCTAGAAAACTTCACTCGATATGTGTAGGATATTCGAACTTATTTGGACCTACTTCACCGTGAATTTGTTTGAACTTAACTTTGTTGACTCTGCTCTGGATCTATTTGTCTTTTGAAACCTGGAATGTTTATGGAATAAGGATATAGTTTAACATAACGGAGTTTGAGTTTTCAACTTTGGACTGCAATAGGTACTGAAAAGGTATTTTGGGGGTCCCGGCCCATGGACTAATGTAACTTCTAGCCAGTGAGCAAGCTCTCTGTTCAATTAATTGCCTGTTTCATATGCCTTCTTAAGTTGCAATGACCATTAATTTTATCATTTATACATGTAACAGTTGTAATCTTATGTAAAGTACCTGATTTCAAAATGCTGTACAGTTGTCATGTATGCAATCCCAGAACACAATAAGTTGAGCTTTACGCAGCATTCATTCTTTCTGTTATCCAGTTTTGAGACTATCTGTTTGGTTATTACCACGCTGTTGGTAGAAGCTTGATCTGCTATGTCTATTGAATGTCAGTTTTCTAACAATAAAAAGTGTGACTGCATCAAAATGTGAATACAATGTATACAAAATCTTGATAATACCATAGCTTTAGTTTGTTTGCAGATCAAACTGTTTGTGTCTTTGCACCACTACATACATGTAATTATACATTTGTAGCTATTAATTTAAAAAAAAGTTAATGCCAAATAGGTTGTACTGTATTTCATCAAATAACAGCCATCCCTCAATTAATTACTTCCCTTAAATAATCACCCTCCTTTAATGGCAATATTTAAAAAAATGTGATCAAAATGATTCAAGGTCTCCTGACCAGTGATGCCAAGGATACTGACTTTGAAAATTTATCAATGCGACCATTTTTCTTTTGTTTAATGAGATAATGAAGCAAGCTATATAAGGGCAGGGCTTCAAGTTAACAATATTTAAATGAATCAACTCCCTCAAATAATTGCCATACCTCAAATAGTCAACCCCTTTTGTGCGAAAAAAAAAGAATAATCGTGCCCGGCTACTATTCGAGGATATAATTATTGGTAAACTCGATTGAAAAGACTGCAACTTCTTTTGGCAATGATTTTTGTTTCTTGAAGTGCAGGTCTGACATTTGAGACGGGGAAATCCTCTTATGCCCAGTCTTGCTCTTCTTTTGGTTGATGAGAAGAGATTATGAGATGAAACAGACTTCCATAAACCCTCATAAGACAGCTACAGGTAAAATGCCACCATCTGTAGTAGTCATTAGGACTTAATGCTTTAGGTTTTCCTTTCTACACAAATTTTCTGAGGAGTATCTCGGACAGCCACCATCTGCCCGCCTGATTGCAGGCAAGCTTGCAAGACTTTATCTTTCAAAAGCTTTCCAATGTTCGCTCCCATTTGGCACTTGCTTCAAATTCGCGCTGGTTGGTCATAAACGTACAGCTCAGTCAAGGAGGAGTGACAGTGGGCACGAGAGGTAAAATTTAAATTTCTAAGATGTGACTGTAAGCTGTCTCCACCTTCTGTGTTTAGCACATTTTGACATCCTCTGTGATCTATTACCAGACAGACCCATTGCTACATGGAATCTATTTGTTTTATATAACGATCATAAAATAAAAAAGACCAATAAACCCACCTTCCTCATACCACTTGACTTGACTTGGTGCTACTGTTAGAAATTGTTTAAGTCACGCATGCTACTTTTCATCTCTGCTTCTTCTTCTTCTTTTTCTTTATCCTACTTGCATACAGTTTCTTCAAAAAGTTTTTCTTGCTCAAAACAGAATAATGGCAAAAATAATGGCAACTGTTGTGAAGATTTCTTGTGGTTTAGGCATTCTCAAGAAGTCACGAGCTCAGTCAACAAGCAGCGACACTGGGCACTAGGGGCAGAATTCATTGATTAATGGATTGATAGATAAACAGCAAAAGTACATACATATACATACTGTAGGATTGCCACTTGAGACAGGAAGAGGCAGACAAAATAATCTGATTGTTAGCCACACAGTGAGTTTACAAAATGTACCTCTGGAAATCCAATTTAATTACATGTAGATGTAACTAATTATTGCTTCATTCAGTGCACAGGGTATGAATTAAAAAAACACACAATAACTCAGGGTTCAAAATAAAGGCCAGTCATCGGACAATGCCTGACCAAGATGACCATTTTGTTGTTAAAAAGTTTTTCAACGTCTTTTCTTGCTCAAAGCAGAATAATGGCGAAAACATTTTGCAAAACAGCGAGTGTCTCGTACTGATGACACACTATGGCAACTCTTGTAAAGATTGCTTGTGGTTTAGACATTCTCAAGTAGTCAAAAGCTCTTTTTTGTCTCCGTTTCTCCACTTTTCTTTTTTGTAAAATAATAGCTCCTACTAAACCTTTTTTTTTAGGCTTTCAGTTGCTTTAGCCTGACATAATATCACAAACATTATCAAAACCGTGAATGTTGAACAAAACAAAAAAAAAGTTTCCCATGACATCATCCACGTATCTGTACTCTAATAGATCATGGGCAACGACCAATAACACTGCATGTAGCATCCACATCATTGTATACACATAATTAGTACAAATACTTTTACTGTACATGTATCTTGCACTCATAGTAAAATCTAAAGGTCCCCAATTTCTGTTTGTCTATGTACACTTAATTCAAGTGCCTAAACAAATAAAGTTGAACTTCAACATAACCTTATCTGGTAGGTGGACACACATGGAGTTTTGGCTGTAATTCAGTTGGACTGTGAGATTATAATACGTAAAGTACTGAAGATTGTAACGAAAAACATCTTAACTTTGAATTTCCCACTTCAAGCATAAGCTTAAATTGGCTATTAAAACCTTAAGTTTATACGGAAACAACAACATTCAAAGCCACGTTTACTGAAACAAAACTTTCAGGCAAGGACCTCTTCTTAAGGAGAATATAACTATAGATTTTCTTTCTAAAAGAAGCAACGAAATTAAATCTTTTAAGCAGGTGTTAAGCTTACCTTTACAGATGTAAGCTTATGAATAAGTTGAGGCCAAGTCGTCTATGTGGTCGTACGCAGCGCAACCAAAACGTGGTCAGCATTCGAGCGATTTGCGGCTACATCTGCGTATAGGTTGTAAAAAAATGCCACAAAACGAGGAATAAACCTTTTCCCAATGGTAGAAGCCACGGGAGAGTCCATATATCGCACAGTCTTGGCTACAAAATGTAGCATTTTACCTCGCCACATGCTGTCGATTATCATGGCTTCCTTTGCACTGCATTGGGTTCTCGTTCCCAGAATGCATGCGAACCAGATTTCCCGCGAAAAAAACGTATTGGAAAACGAGAAGACCCTGGGGACGAGGGGGGGTCTCCCATAATCTCCCATCGGCCCTTACATCGGCCCCAGGGCACACCCAGTTATAAAAATCGGTTCCGGGCAGATAGTGGGGGCAAGGGAAAGTCTCAAACGGGCGGGGAAAAAAGGGTGCGAAGAAAAGGAAAGAACAGCGAGAAGAGCCCGTTCTTTATGTTTCTTCGCACCATTTTTTTTTTTCGCTCGTCTGAGACTTTCCCTTGCCCCCACCATCTGCCTCTGGGTCTCCGAAGATGGCCCCAGGTGCGGCCGGTTTTACTTTGTGATAAAATTTTCGGGAAGAAAACAAGGTTACAATACAAACGAAACTTTCCCGGCGTTTATTTATCTGTTTACCTTCTTAAGCTCGATTCAAGGTTTTCCTGGTGCTATCGAAGGCTGGAAAATCAAGTTAACGCGAACGTAGCTGAATTTTGTTGTGTTATTTGTGTCTTTTTCATGGCGCCTTAAATTACTTGGCCTCCCACGCAGCTCAGACGTTCTTAGGGGTTCGTCACGCGTTCCTGCTCCACTGGGGCAGGAACGCGTGACGAACCCCTATTTTTATCATGGCGTTTCATGTACAAAATAACAACATACTATAAATGGCAGCCGTGACATCTAGTGAAACTCGCTGTACATCTTCTAGAATTAATTTTCTTTTAATTTTTCTAATCCCCCTGAAATAAAAACAACGAAAGCAGTCATTTGTAAAATGAGCCAAAATCAATTAGCGTTCTAAAAGCTGTAGTAAAATTGCATCATTAGGATAAGAACCGGATTCTATTTGATAAAAACAGTTTCCTGAATTCAATAAAAAGACTCGCAGCGATTTTCAGTTTTCACAGATTCCAAAAAATACCATGGCATGATTAGTCTGCTACACAGCCGTTTTTTAGTGTCATCACGCAACGCTCCTCCCCACTAATGGTGGGGAGGAGCGTTGCGTGACGACACTAAAAACGGCTGTGTAGCAGACTATGCAATAATTTGCCTGCGTGCAGACGTCTCCTATTTCCTTTGTTGCACGCGGAAAAGGGACGTCTGCGTAACGCCGTCGCTAATTGTGTTCCAGCGTCCTGCTGGGTTCCCAAGATCTTGGGAACACGCTTCGATAGGCTGATACACAGTGCGCATTGTTTGACTTAACGCTGATTGGTTGTTATCGAATGTGGTCTGATAATGTATGCGGTGATTTAAATGATTTATGTAAGCGGGGTTTTCTAACCAAAACAAATCAAAACATGTGCGATTGTGTGCTGTGTTTTTCGTCGATCGAAAAGCAGAGCGATCGAAATCTTGTGCGG